CAGGCCTTTCCTGGACACGCAGTGTGAACCACGGTCACGCACAATGACCACCTTCAGGCCTTTCCTGGACACGCAGTGTGAACCACGGTCACGCATAATGACCACCTTACAGAAAAGGAAGGTGTAGTAACTTTCACAGCTCAAACTGTCCTCTCTGTTTGGTTCTGTAGACTTATTTCAAAGCTGACCACCCACCAGATGCCTTTAGCATTTAAGTATGTCAAAGAGGATACTGCCCCCAAGATTGAGCAAAGGCCAAGGTTACTGGCTCTGAAAAATTTCTTATTCTAAATAGTAAAATAGCACAACTTTAAACAAAACAGCCAAGTCATGTGACCTTGCTCATCTCCCCACTTCCTACAAGCCCATGCTTCTACAGAAACCTTTTAATGCTCTCCCCTATTTCTCATACCCAGCTATATCAGCAACACTAAGGAGTTAAATTGAACAATTTCCTCAGCCTGACAGCCAGCTGACAAATTTAGTTTTTATTTGTTCTTCTTTATCATAATGTTTCTCCATCCTATTTCCTTATTTTCATTTCCTTCTCTATGGCCCCCAGTGCCTTTTTATTTTGTTTAAAGCTCATTGTTTAACAGGCCAAAGGCTCTATATAAATGTATCCCATTTGAAGAAATTAAAAATCTGAATTTGAGAGTCATAAATGATTATTTGCTTTACAAATTAATTACTTCCTTTAGGAAAGAATAAATACATGATTTCTTTAAATATATACGTATGTTACATTAAGATATGATCCAACCCACCTCATGGGATCACCATGAGTTGGGCTGAATCGACTAGACAGCAACTGGTTGGTTGGTTCAACACATACAGAACCTTTCAGGAGTAAATCTGTAAGTAACACAAAGTAATTTCTACAATGTCTTAAACTTCAAAAAAAAAAAAAAGGCAAACGAAAACAATACAAATATATCAGAATATAATTTTATAAAATGTATATACAGAGTTGTCAGTTAAGACTTCTTTAGTGACTACTTCTTGGGAATCTATTATGAGCTGGCTCTGCAGGGGACGTTTCATATGTATCATCTCACTTAATCTGCAGCATACCACACATTTACACAGTACATCTATAATGTCCCTACGGCCTTAAATGCCCAAGCAAGTCACTCATCTTCTGGCTGTCTTCTGTGCTCCATCTCATCCTGATTAGCTACCTGGCTGTGCATTAAAATCAGAAGAGACCTCAAGAGTGAAAGCACACTTTATAAAAAGTCTATTCTTAACCATGTCTTTGAAGCTCTATGGCTTTAGACAAGTTTATTATCTTCCCCCACCCACCAATCTCCAACTAACACTAGGTATACCAGTACTATTTCATGGAGTTCATGAAGATAAAGTCATAGAACACAAATGGTTGTAGAACTAGGAAGGACATTAGACATTATCCAATCAATTCCATCATTTTGCAAATGAGGAAACTGAGGTCTAGAGAAGCTAACTTGTCAGACTCACATTGCTAGTTGATTCAGTCAGACCTAAAATGCAGATCTTTAATTCTTTATACTATCCATGGTATAAGAAACTTCCATATAATGAACCATTAAAAAAAAAAAATCGAAGAAGTTTTTATTCAATAAGAAAATAATACATGTTCTTAGTGAAAAAAATAATACCAGTACAGAAAGGTATAAAACAAACAGTCAAACCCCTCCCTTCCTTTCGATTCTCTAATCCCATTTTACTCCCCAAGGTTAGCCACTGTGAACAGATCCCTATGTGTTCCGTTTGGTCACCCAGTGCTGCTCTAATAGGAAATACCACAAAATGGGTAGATGGTTTTAACAAAGAGGGATTTAGTCTCTTATAGTTTAGTAGGCTTCTCAGAAGTCTGAGTTCAAAGTGCCAAGCTCTAGAGGCTGGGTGAAAGCCCCCTGACCTTGGGATTCAGCTCTGCCTTTTGCTCCCATCCCACTGGAGCTGGAAGCATCTCTTCACTCAGGCAGCTATTGGCTACTGAGGCTGACAAACCCAAGGTTGACATATAAAATGGCACAGGCCTAAGTTTACCAAACAACATGGCAGGTCTCTAGTTCAAGTCCAGAGACAGTCCCAAGATCAGCAGCAAACAAGGCAGGCTGCTAAATGAAGACAACTGTATGCGGGGTCTAAGCCTGCCAAAAGCTAGAGACCTTTCTCAACACTTCTCCTTACACACTGGAAGCAGACCACATCCCTAAGGCATCTCTGTTCCAGCAGAGTCCACCACGGAGTTGATTACCAATCTCATCATGGGGAATAACTACATCCAGCTGCCCAGCCACTCAAAATCAGGTCCAGCCAAGTTGACACATAACTTAACTACCACATGAGCATTCAAAAATTTCTATCCATATAAGTGTGCATATATTTATGGAACTGCAAAAAATTATTTTCCCTCTTAGTTTGATGTTTTCCTAAGTATAATTTAGTCAAAGAGAGTCATAGAACACTGTAACATGTCCTTAAGTTTCAAAGCTGTAAGTATGATGATCTCCTTAGGTACAGCTCACCTGTTTTCCAGATCCGGCATGCTTAGGTTTCTAGCAGCAAAGCACATTTTGAGAGGGATGACTTTCCTGTCCTTGGTGCTGTTCTGGTGTTTTGGAGAACCAGAGTCCTCGCTGCCACTGAAGTTTGGTGACTGGGGAGCGGCGCCTTCCCATGGCAGATCCGATACTAATGATGGCTTCTTGATATATGGTGTCACTTCCCGGATGAACTTGACTATGAACAAAAATCAAAGCAAAGAAGATTAGTATTTTTGCTTTTTAAGTTCAAATCCAGCACTCACTGTAAACACTTCTTCTTTTACCCTCGTCATCACTGGCAACTTTTGTCAATGAAAGCATGACACTCTTTTATTTCAAACACTAGATAAATTGAAAGTATTTTTTTTTTATCTTACATAACATTAAAAATGTAAATAAATAGTTGAATATAGATGAAAATCAGGCATGATTACCTCTGCTAACATCAAGAAATGTGACATCAGGACCTTATCTCTCTCAAATTCCAATAAGATAGAGGTCGTTAAAGTAGCATCATGAGAATTTAAAAACTAAAAAGATACCATCATTATCAAGTAACAGCTGATAATAATATTCTACAGCATTAGAAGCTTTATGAGTCCATGAAACATTTATGAACCTACAGATTATTAAATCTAAAAGAAAAAAGAATATATTTCTTAAAACATAGCTAACAATAGTCTTTAACATGGTTGAAATTTAAAATTTTTTAAACAATTATCAGTAGAAGAGGCAGAGCTATTTTCTTAATAAGTTATTAAACAAGAACTGCTCAAATTAAGCAGAATAAACATAATAAATGTTAGTGCCAGCATTTCAATACAGTTTGTGTGTGGGTTGTGTGTGCTATGAGTTTTCTATGCTTAGTTATACCACATGTACTTCTGGGTGGAGTGTGAAAATAAGCTGCCTCAGGTCACCAAGGAGATTTTTTCATCTTAGAAAAATGAGCAGGATGTAGTCAGTATATCCCTTGAGCTGCTGACACAAGCATTTCAGTACATGCCTTAGCTTTGTGCTTTCAAGAGAGGATTAGATCACAAGAACTTTGGCAGAAATTCCTACAGTTTCCAGTCACTGCCAATGGCAGAGAAAAGCTTTTGAAACATTTAAGGCAGCATACCACCTACGAGCTTCCAAATGGGGGAAATTAAAGACATTTTAAAAGACCACTATTCAAAATTACAGAGGTTAGAAAAGGACTCTTAATGATCTACTCAGAAGTCCATTCAGTCCCAGTAGCAACACTGAATTGATACCACACACATATTAAAATAAAGACAGACATATACAACCTAAAGGATGGCCTTATTAAAAGAACAGTGAACTTCACCTGAACTGATGTGGTGTCTCCTCAACCTCATCCCAAGCCAATACCCCAACACCTCCATTAGACCAACACCTCCATAATGGCTGGAGAACTGTGCATAGAAATGTGCTTCTAGTTTATCTGACACTTGGAAAAGGTGGAACATTAACACAGTCTCCTGTTTTATTTGTATACTAAGATCTCCCCAGTTGGATCTCTCACAGGGCCATTACCTGGACCCCCAGCTATCTCTGGATAGTAGTAGAGTCTTTACATTGTCACATGACATTCAGGTTAACTCAGAACTAATGATACATTTCAGAATCATCTCATATTTCCCAGTAGTAAAAGATAATCCTCAAAATATTTAATTAAACACTGATGTCCATAAAGCATTTTAGGCGTTTGGAGGATGAAGTTAATTTCTTCTCTTCCATGTACGGATTCCTCTTATTAAAAACAGAAGGGCTTCACCTCACTCCAAAAGCACCACTGTAACCCCTTCTCCCTTTAGAACAACAAAAACATTCACCATACTTTGTACTTGGAACGGTATCTAAAAGGATGTTCATCAAAATACCAATAGTGCTTATATATAACTAGCAGGATTGCCTTTGATTTTTTAAATATAGTTTTACATATTTGAAAATTTTGTGTTCCACATCACTGATTAAAAAAAAAAAAAAAAAAAAAAACTAAAAAAAAAAAAAAAAAAAAAAAACCATAAAACTTGGCTCAAGTCTTAAACATGGAACCACCTTAAAAGGAAATCTTATTGAGCTTCAAAAACTATACTGTGCTGGATGGGATCCAAGATATGACTGGTTTTTACTGAATTCCACGATCTAATCAATAGGGTTATAGTGAGGTGCACATATTTTAACAAAGCACACTGCTATCTTAGTTTGGGGCATGAGGCTGAGTTTAAACTGAAAGCTATTTATGTAGCTTTTGAAATCTTATCCAAAAGATACTTCACAGTGCAGAGAAAGCCTATGGCTGTAACCACAGGTATTTCGGTAAACTGATCATGCTTTATAAACATCAACCTCTCACATTAATCATTATATTCCTCTTTATCTCTCACATTATTTTCTTACTTCAGCAAGTGACCTTTTACTGTAAGTTTAAATGAAACTAAATTGGTCACTGTGGGGAGAATGATGTCATTATCTCCCCTGCTTTATGTAAGCAAGGAGTTCTGGTGGCACAGTCCTTAAGGCACTTGACTGTTAACCAGAAGGCTGGCAGTTCAAACCCACCAGCCACTCCTGGGAAGGAAGGTTGGGCAGTCTACTTCAGTAGAGATACCGCCTTGGAAACCCAAGGACGGGTCGCTATGAGTCAGAATTGACTCGATGGCAGTGACTTCAGAGTTTCTTTTATGTAACCGAGTTTGTTTTTGGGTTACCGTTAGGGTGGAGATCTGATTTGGCATTTTGGCATCACTATAAAATGTTCTCCCAAGAGGTTTCTCCTTGACCTCATCTCAAGCTCCTCTTGCCAAGCAGGAGTCTAATAGATGGTCACCAAAAACATTGGTAAGAACTGCTTTACTATCATTAAAAAGCCTTTTACATTCTCAACCTGCAGGTGTCTTTTAGATTAAGTCCCCTGGTCATTGGGGGTTTAGGTAACAGTCTAGGATTCGGTGATGTGAAACTTGAATGTGTTCAGAATTACTCTGATTTCATTATTTGTCTTCATTTTAAAGTAACATTGCACATTCATGAATTTATTAAGCTCCTGTGCCAGGAAACGTTTTAGGTACTTAAGATAATAAATACATCAGTGAATAAGACACAGAAACAAAGAAATGTAATGAATAGTAAATTATATTCTATTGTTGTGTGGCTGAGGCAATTCTGACTCACAACGACCCTATACCTGCCCCTAGGGTTTCCTAGGCTGTAACCTTTGCTGGCACAGACCTGCTGGTGGGTAAAACCACTGACCTTCTTGGTTAGCAGCTGAGTGCTTAACCGTTGTGCCACCAGGGCTCCTAACTATATTCCAGAAAGTGAAAACTTGTGTTTATACAAAAGCCTATACACAAATGTTTTTAGCAGCTCTATTCAACATTGTCAAAACCTGGAAACAACCCAAATGTCCTTCAATGGGTGAATGAATAAAGAAATTGTAGTACAGTCACATAACAGACTACTAATTAGCAATAAAAATGAATGAACTATTGATACAACAGACAACTTGGATGTATCTCAAAGGCATATGATAAAGGACAGAAAAGGTTACATACAGCATGATCCCATGTATACGGTATTCTTGAAAAGACAGAACTATGAAGAACAGATCATCAGCGTTGCCAGGGGCTGGGGTGGAGGAAGGTGACATTATAAAGCGTAGCGCTGAGCTCTGTGGAGTGAAGGAACTGTTGTGCATCTTGATTGTGGTGACGGTTACAAGAATTTATACACGTGTAAAAGTACACAAGACCGTATAGGTAAGGGGGAAAAGTCAATTTTATTGCATTATTTTTAAAATAAAAAAAAAATTATATAGCATGTTATAGGATGATAAGTGTCATGGAAAAAAGAAAAAAAACAGTAAGGAAAGGGGAAATCAGGAGTACTTCAAGAGGGTCTGTTTGCAGTGTTGTGTAAGGTGACTAGACTAAGCCTCATTAAGACATTTGAACAAAGACTTGAAGGAAGTTGGAGGGGTGACATGCAAATATAAGGAAGAAACATTCCAGACAGAGAACAGAGGTTAAATAGTAAGAAAACCCAGTGTGAGTACAGCAGGGTAAATGAGGGGGAGAGAAGAAAATGGGGTCCAGAGTTAATGGGGGCCAGGTTGTGTAAGGCCTTACAGGGCGCTGTAAGGACTCTGGATTTTTTTTTTTTCCTGAGATGGGAAGCCCCTGGGAGGCTTTTTAAGCAGAGGGGTGAATGACTGAGCCGTATTTGAACATTATTCTGGCTGCTGTGTTGAAAAGAGAGCAGAAGGGGGCAAGGACAGAAGCAGAGACATCAGCTGGGAGCAGAAGTAATCTCATTAAAAGCAAACTGTTATTTAACAGGTGAAAAATGCCATATATGCCCACTCAACCTTGACTCTTCCTGCAACAAATGCAGGATGTTATTATTTTCTTCCCTATGAAAGCAGGAAATCCATGCCTCTTTCCATAGATATATTTTTACCTTCAATGGTTTAAGAGGAGTGATTTGTGTGCTTATAACAAGTTGGGGACAGTCGCCAGAACCTCATATCAAACACAGATCGGAGTCACAATTCTTTGGATTTGCTGTACCAGCATTTCTTTTTTATTATTATTATTATTAGGATTTGGGTGAAGATTTACAGAGTAAATTCACTTTTCATTCAGCAGTTCACATATACTTTGTCTCATGTCATTGACCAAAATTTACAATGCAGCAGCTCCCCTCCCACTTCCTC